CTCATGAACCCTTCCTTTGCAGGTTGCTGGACACACACTTGTTGCCTACATCCCCTCTTCATTTCAATGAGTAACCACATCACAAAAGAAAATACTTCTGGTCCACCTGACTCGTTCCTGTGACTCACAGAGTTCCAAGTGACCCCACTCTCTTTTCTAAATATTCCCAAACCATCTTTCTCATGATTCACGTAGAGATCTTGTCCAAGACTAACGTCAAGTTCATAAGCCTGAGAAATCCAGATTTTTTTTTTCCAAATTGAAAACTACAACTCTAGCCTTCTAATCCTTCTGCTTTATCACAATTCCTCAAAGACTTTGAATAATCGTCCAGCAACCTCATATGCAAATTAACTCTTGAAAGAAGTTGAGTGTTTATATGGGCTGAGGTTGCAGGGAGGATAAAACTAGAGTCTGTGTTTTGGTTTTGACTGAGCTGAGAAGGGTGAGGATGTTTAAAAATGAGGTAAAAATATCTTAACTCAAGCAAAGGGTGGGGGGTGGGCTTCTAGCATTGCTGCCGGAAATGGGCAAGACAGAGCCCAGTCCAGAGCACAAGTAAGAAGACAGGGTTCTAACTGAGGGACACCATTCAGTTGGTGAAAGGAAGGCTCAGAAGCATAGTCTGTGAGCTGTTCTGGCCATTGCTGTTTCCTGTGTGACCCTTATAGGCAAGGGTGTTGTATTTTTTGCCTCTGAATGCCCAAATTATACAACACACCCTAAGAAATAATAAAGATTACGTATATGTTTATTGAATGAATAAATGAATGAATGGGTTGGTTTTCAGGTTGTTGTTTTAATGCAGCAGTTAACTATAGCTTTTCTTGTTCTTTTAAACCAAAACAAAACAGAAGGACAGCTCTCTGCCATGCTCACGAAGTAATCTACATGTCCTGTTTATGAACTCATGCTGTCTACCATGAGCTATTTTTAAAGCTCTTACAGAAAGCCAGGTCTGTTTCTTGACAACTACTCCCTACCTACTGAAACTGAGTCGGGATATTTAGGGAGCTGTTGACAAATAACACTTGGAAGGCTAAATTTAGTGTCGAGTGTGGGGTGGGGTGGCTGTCATCCTTGGACTTACCTTCAGTGTCCCGCCCCCTTTAAAAATAACCCATGACAAACACATCAGGTACAAAAAATTCTCCAGTTTAACGTGAAATACAAGCTCAAGTTGGATTATATTATATCTGTGCATGAGTGAGTCCTTCAGAAATTCATCTAATTACAATCAGTCTGAGAAAAATAAGATGGCAAAATGGCTATGCTTGGAGAAATGAACTATCCAAAGAGTGTAATATTGCCATTGAGAGAACAGAGCAGCTACAGAGTAATATAATGAAGGGGGCAGGCGCAGATGAGACTGGAGCTCATAATTTTATTCTGGCGTCCATCTGAGAAGGGAAATGGTCTCCATTGTGGTGATGTATGGAGTGCGTTTTATCTCTGGGGAGGGCTACAAGTGTCCTACAACCCTGGTCTGTATCTTCTTGACTGCAGCACGTCCCACATCACCCCCGTGTCCTTGGCACATAGTGGGCCCTTTTAAAAAGTCTCTGCTGTTCTCATTGACAATGTTGACATTGCTTTTGCTACTGATGATATGGACGAGGGAGATGAAACTTTAAAATACGTGAAATTGGGGCAGGGGTATTTGTTTGTTTTGCTTTTTTTTTCCTTTTTTGAGACAGAGTCTGGCTCTGTTTCCTGGGTTAGTTTGCAGTGGCCTCATCATAGCTGACTGCAACCTCAGACTCCAGGGTTCAAGCGATACTCCTGTCTCAGCCACTCTAGTAGCTGGGACTAGAGGTGCCTGCCACAATCCCTGGCTAATTTTTATCTATCATATTTTTTTTTTTTTTTTTTGCAGTTTCTGGCCAGGGGCTGGGTTTGAATCCGCCACCTCTGGCATATGGGGCTGGCACACTACTCCTTTGAGACACAGGTGCCGCCCCTATTTATCTATCTATCATCAAGACAGGTCACTTTTGCCAGGGCTGGTCTTGAACTCCTTGCCTGAAGCAATCCTCCCACCCTTGTTGCAGACTGGAGTTACAGGCATAGGTGTGTGTGCACAGACTGACTCAAGGCCTGGAGTTCCCCCCACCCCGCCCGTGATAAAAGCCGCATCTCTTCAGAGGTAGTGGGTGGGCAGGGAGGTATCTGGCTGCCGGATGCCTTCACGTGTGAGCTGTACCCTGAAAGTGGAAGGGCTCTCGTTGGTGAGGGACAGCGCTGGCTGAAGGTGGGGTGAGCTGCTCATGACCTGACCTGGCAGCTATGGGGGGCCATGGGCTCACCTTGGCTGTGTTTGTCTGACGCTGGGGCTGAGGCTCAGTGCTGAGGCTGTGGAAGGGCCTCTGGTCTAGGGACACATCCATAGTAAACTGCAAACACCCGTATGTCTAAGGAAGACAGAAGGTCGTCCTATGCTGGGTTCCCCTTGGCTGCAGAAAATCTTGGTGAAGGGAGCAACCCAGAGACCAAGGGACCCTTAGAAATAAAGAGACGACACAAAGAGCCTGCTGAGGCTCAATGCAGCAGCTCTGGGAACTCAGGGAGAGGAGGGAGTGTTACCAAGAAGGCTAAGAGAGAAAGATGGGGGGTGGGCAAAGGGGGGCTACAGAAGCTCAGCTGTGACCAGGGATGCCTCACCCCGATGAACTCTACTCCATTTCATGTCTTTTCCCGGATGCGTCTACGCTGTTGTTTGCAACACCACTTACTTGAAATGGATCGTGGCCCCTGCTATCCTGCCTCCCAGGGCCAGCACACGGTTAGCCTCCCGGGCGTGTGCGCCACTGCCCTCCCCTTTGCCCATTCAGGCAAAGCCCTCAGACTCTTTTATTTGCCGCCCTCCACTCTCTGGTTGTATAGTTGGTCTTTATTTTTGATTTTGTCTTTTTGAGATGGAGTCTTACTCACCCAGGCTAGAATGCCATGGCCTCGACCTAGCACACAGCAACCTCAAACTCAGGCTCGAGTGATCCTCTCGCCTCCGCCTCCTAGACTGCTAGGATTACAGGCATGAGCCACCAGGCCCAGCCTGATTTCAGAGCTTTTATTTTAATTCATGTGAACAGGATGAAGGACCCAGTAGCCCATTCCAACTCAATGGCCCGTTCCAACTTTTTAGCAGGGAAAAACATGAATTGCTCCCCAAAAAATGTGTGGGGGGAATTGTATATTATGTTACAAGAAAAAAATTAGTTTATTGTTTATTTATAAAATAGAGCCCTAAACTGTAGTAAATAACTATGTAACTATGTTACAATAAAAAATTATTTATTGTTTTATTTATAAAAGAGCCCTAAACTGTAGTAGATACTGTAGTAACGAGTCAGTTACTAATCAAGAACTGTTACCATTTATTTTTTTTTTAATTGTGGCCTTTCTCATCTTTAGCAAAGGATGCATATTTGGGGGTCAGTTTCCAACTGCTAGAAGACACAGGCCCCACAGCCCCAGGTGATGCCTCTGGGAACCCCTGCTCTGTCCCAGGGATCCTCCTCCCCAGGAACACTCATGGGGAACTTCATCCTTTGCAGTATCCAGCTTCCTCCCTCCAACATCCTCAGGGCCACCTCCCTCCACCGCAGCCCTCAGAACACACATGTGTCACCCTTGGGCACAGCCAAAGAGAACTTGGTGGGGACAGAAAACAAAAAGACACTCTTCACAGCAAGAATAAGAAGCCTCATTTATTTATTAATAAGAATCATTAAAAGTATTTGTTGTACCTAAGTCTCTCATCTTCTAGACCAAGGGTCACCTTCTTCTGGAAAGGGCTCTGTGGGCCACATGCTCCCTGCCAGGACTGCTCAACTCTGCCATTACACACTCAAAAGCCGCAGTAGACAATATGGAGCTGAACAAGCATGGCAGGTGGCAGGGTTCCAGGAAACCATTTACAGACACTGAAATCCAAATTCATGTAACTATTGTGTGTTATGAAATGGTATTCTTCTTTTGTTTTTATCCAACTATTTAAAAACGTAGAAACCATCCATAGCTCCCAACCCCTCTGAGAGCTGGGAGTGGAGGGAATCAACGAGTGAGAGCAGACAGACCCTTTCAGCTCTATCCTGAGAGCTGTTCCCACCAGTCTGGCTCCACCTTCCCTCGGAGGGCAGCTTAGAGCCCTCACTGGAAAGCGCCTCCCAACAGTGTTGGCCCACTTCCGAGCAGGTCCTATTTGGAGGGGCAGCCCAGTGTGGTGGACAGAGGGCGGGTTCTGAAGACAGACACACAGAGTTCCCATCACAGCTCAGCCACTAACCAGCCAAGCAGCGGGGCCAGACTGCCTCCTTCACCAGGCGAGGTGTAAGCAAGCACAGAAAGCATCTGCGGCTTCTTAGATATTTGTTTCTTTCCTCTGGGCTTTTTTTCATTCCCAAATTCTAAACATAGCACATTTTTTTGAACCTAAGAAGATATTAATTATTCGCTAAGTATTGTGGCCACTAACATCAGATTTATAAGTTAGTCACTTAACCTACACAAGCAGGTGAATGCAATACTGTTTAAGGCTGAGGCATCTTCTGCCCAAACAGCAGGATAAGAGAGATGAGTCCCTGACAACTCAGGGCACATGCTGGTGTGGGCCCTGGAAGGGCAGAGAGCTGTTTGGAGATGTGCAGATGTGTCTGTCTCTGGAGTTAGCAAGTAAGCGTCCATGTAATCACTGGGGACTGGACACTGCTGCATCCCAATGGTCACATGATCTTGGCCGTATCAAGTAACCATTATCACATCAGAGTCTACGAGAGTTATAAATACACTGGATAACAATGGAGTATGACAATAGAAACAGCTCACACTCCCTAAGACCATCTCTCCCGTTCTGAAGAAGTTTTCTGAAATCAACTGCATTGCAATGAAGAGGCAGCCAGAGCGAGTGAGAGGAAAACTTCAAATCTTTCAGAAGATGGAGAAAGAGCCTCAGCTCAGAGCAGGGTCTCCAGTGCTCGAGTACCACACTGCCTTGGTCACAGGAGACCTGGACCATCTTAGGACCCTCATGGGCCAGTTCTTCCAGGACGCCAACGTGGTGTTTGAGATCAACAAGGATGAGATGGAATGGCAGGTGAAATCTTCAGCCACGTTCGGACTGTCAGGTACCCTTGTTCCTTTAAAGCTCAGTTACTTGCTTTTAAGGAGCTACTAACACTCTCTCTGAA